AATTCATTCAACACAACTATCACCGTAGCACAAAACCGAGTGCCATCCTTCAGTGAACCGTGTTAACTATAGACGCAGGGAAAGCTAGCAACATTCGATTCAGACATGTGGTAACAACCCCTCTAATGTTCCGATCCTGACCGACTACTTCCAATCCTAGTCAAAGGTGGCACACGACCGGCATCGAAAGCGGTGGTCACACGTGATCATACGGTGCAGTGTTTTGCGACCATCCCTGTTACAAAATAATCATGACTATCGTCCGACAATTTTATTTCTGGAATACTGATGACAACTAATATGGGTAGTGACAGCGGTATACACTTGGTAACTTGGTCACTAGAAAAAGATAGACCGTCGGTGTTGAACACCGATGTCCACACCGCATTGCATGAGTCTGTTGGTGAAACCGGATAAGAATTGTTGAGGTTCGGCGCAGAGTATTAGGTCAGCCACTGAAACAAGTGGTCGACTTCCATAGATTACGCTGGTTGTAGAATGTGTTACACATGCCACCAAATAGTCTTCCCCAGTGAGCGCTGTTTCTTGAGGTAGACCGCGGGTGAAAAAACTAATGCCTGGCATGAGGGTATGAAAACCCTGACCAGATGACTTGCTTTCATGGGTTGCATTAGGTTTCCTGAATGGAGACCTCGGGAAAATTTCAATCAATGATAGCGTGACTGAATATTGTAAAAATTGCACTCGTGCATCTATTCAATTTCCTTTAAAATTTGGACTGTCGGAATTTTCCACTTTCCACTTTCTAGTCTTCTACCTACGTTTTTATCCAAATGTGCAGATAAAAGACGGCAGCATGAAAGTTAATGGTTAATGGTTGTTCAAACTGAAATGAATTGAAGTTGGCCAGTAGTATATGCTTTTAATCAGTATGAAAAATCGATTTGGTATCCGTGACGAAATAAAAAGGATCGAAATAAGCTGCGTTAGTTTCGTTACTTTTTCCTTCTGTCTAACATTACCCAGTTTTCATTTAAAATGAGGTCTAAATCCGTTCTCACGTTGTGTTCACATATCGAAGAAATTTAAATCTTTTGCGAAGATTTCAGATGAACACGAGAACGGTGCACGCAACATTCAGCCCTTGTGTGGCATCACACAGATATGGTTTTACTTTGCATCGTTTACGTTGGCTTGGCTCTTCAGTGAAAATCAACAGACGCGCTGTCTGGAGAATTGTACACTTCAAAAGGCGACCGGAAATAAGATCAGATCGCGTTTTTCCTCTTCCTCCTGCATCAGCGACTGATTCAATGTGGGTTCGAACCCAGTTTCATGAAAGCGTTGATCAGTACGTGTGTATACACGGTCATGACAATGTCGATTTCGGTGTGTATGCTTGACTGTTCGTCCAAAGAAGAAAAAACATATTCCAGTAGCTATTTCCGGGACAAACATTTCAAAGATCAAGTAATACCATCATCCGCTGTTTGTGACCTTGAAGAGGTGGCCCTGCTAATTATATATTCTGGAAGGCTGCGGGACGTCATATATAAGTAGTAAAATAGAGCGTCCTTCAGAAACCAACTTGTGTTTGACCTCGATCAGGGCTCTTTGGAATAACGGAAGATCGATACTTGCGTTGTTTGAAGAGTTATAACTGCCAAAGACATTGTACAGTTGGAAGTTTTCCTGTAACCAGCGGTGATAGCTTCTCTCCAGGAATGATCCCAAAAAGCAATAAAGTGGCCCTTTCCTTGGATTTCTCGGCTTCAGAAAATGCTTGTCCTTTGAGATTTAATTTTCCTTTTGGTAGATGCTTGTAATATAAAACTGATTACTCGGCATTGAAAATATTACAATCAGTATATTCATGGATCATATTCGGTAACCCTGCTCGAAACTCACCCAATGCATCAAGTGGTACCGTCAAACATTACCCAAACATCTAAACAGTGATACAGGTGAGAATTTGTTCGTCTCTTTGTAAGATAGAATACCACATTCGTCTGACTAGGAACGAAACCAACCTTTGGAAGACTTGAAGTCAAGATGATGCATCGTTTGTACTCACGGGATTGTCTTCAAACAAACAATGCTATACACTATGGGGAGTTCTCCGTGCCTTTCCCTCATAGGAGCTAGCCATTTTATGGTGGCCTCATTAACTGCCTTGAACTTTTGATTGATTTTCAAATAATATCTTTCATCAAGCGTTCACAAAATCACTCGAATGGATATAGTTTATTTTGAAATAACAAGTGATTCGCAACGGAGCTTTGAGTTGAACCTGGCCGATCAGGCATTTCCTACACATTCCGCTTCTATATAATAGATGGGTGCTTGCACATTTGGACCTAAAACGAGACGGTCTCGAACTGTTGTTGTCTGTGCGCCTTTCTGACAAGGGTTATCCAACCAACGAATAGAGCAATGTGTGGGTCACACTAGTTGAGAAGTCCTAGACTGAATTTTATTTGGTTAATGGTCAACCCGTACATCCGGCAACGACCAAGTGATTAAAAAGTAGGAGGTTCGACACAGTAACGGGTGGGAGACATTGCATGGTCAGAACCTGCATTATTACTTATACGGTTAGTTTGGATTTCCCAAGTGGGAATGCAGTGGAAAATGTGACTTATCATGGGAGTGGCATAGCAGGAGATTGACTGTAACTCATCAGAAAGAATTGTTTCATTTACAGCACACTTAAAAGGTTCCGGTTTTATGCAGATGAAAAGATCATCATCGGTTCATTTGATCTGAAGCAAATACCATATATTTATATATATATATATATATATATATATATATATATATATA